CGCCTCGAGCTCTTCTCACGACTCTGGGGTTTCCGTCCCATGCCCGGCACGGTTGCCGAATTCGACGGGTGGATCATGGACTTCAAAGCCGTTGCGCAAGAGATCATCGACACACAAAGACAACTATCAATGATGTTCTCGCCACACTCCTCCTTTGCAATCGCCCACCCGTCCCTCGAGAGCTTCAAGGCGTCGTTCACCGATGAACAGCGCACGCAACGAACTCTCCCGACATTGATTCGCTTGCCGACCGTATGCGAGTCCAACTTCGGTCAACGAACATCCCCAGCACTCAATCGGCCCTTCTTTGCCTCGTCGTCGTCACGTTCTACTCGTCTCAAGTGTCTCGCCTGTCGCAGCCCTTCGCACCGAGTCGCGGAGTGCCCTACGAGGGCGCAACACCCGCCGCCAGGACCCTGTCGCTCCTGCAAGAAGAAGGATCACTGGTCTCTCGACTGCAAGAAGGCGCTCGAGGACGGCAAAAAGCCCGACACCGCTGACTCGACCGTCGACTCGCAACACCATGTCGGATGTCTCGCCACCGGTCTTCTCGCTCGTCGTCGCCAGCTTCGCAACCACTCTTTTGTCGTCGACTCGGGCGCCACTTCGCACATGGTCTCGGACAAGTCGCTGTTCACGACCTATCGCCATATCGCTCCTACGAAGATTGGTGGTATTGCAGGGGGCATCAACGCCATCGGAACGGGAAACATCGCCTTCATTGCCGCCTCGGGTCATCCGATCACGCTTACCGGCGTGCTGCACACTCCGGGCCTGTTTGTCAATCTTCTCTCGGTCTCTCGACTTTGCGACACCGACGATGTCCGTGTCGCCTTCACAAAACACGGCATCCACATTGACAAGGACGGCAACGACATCGCTGAAGGCGCACGACTCGACGAAGGGCTCTACTTGCTGGACGCTGATCATTCCAAATGTCAGCACCTTGCTCTCCTTTCTCGCTCACAGTCGTCCGTGCCCCTGCTGACTCTCCATCGCTGCCTCGGCCATCTCGCACCGTCCTCCATACAGAAGATGGTTGCCGCTGGTTTGCTGGAGGGTCTCAGGGCCGGATATAGTGACGAAGAGGTTGTGAGGAATCCACTCTCCCGCTCGGCTCAGGACTTAGGCGCGCGGAGCGAACCGGGCGCGGACTTAGGCGCGCGGAGCGAGCCTGGGCCATTGGCTCAGCCCCAGGCTCGCTGGCTGTGGACTTGGGGTGCGCGGGTCTTTATTGTTAGCTTCCTATTCATCACTCTTGGCTATAACTACATCGTGACGTAGTAGAGTTGATCGAATAGGTTATAAGCCCACGAGCTACCAGCCCCGCCGTTTGAGGCTTTTTCGCTCGAGCCCAGCCACTCGAGCCGCACACGTCCATCGCACCATCACATCATGGACAGCTCTCCCGCCTCGCCTTTGGCCCCCAGGGATCCCAGCTCCCCTGAATCTTCGATCGGCGAACAAATCGCCACTCTACAGGCCCAGCTTGCCGCTCTGCAGGCCTCGCAACCCGCCGCCGCCGCAGCCGCCGCACCCCCGGCCGTCACCGTCGTGCCGGGGAACGCCGCCACCGCATCCAAGGTCGTGTTTCCCAAGCACGCTCGTCTGGACGGCCCCAAGTCGTTCACCAACTGGTTGCGTCAACTCCGTCTTGCACTCCCGAACCAGGTTCGTGGTTACGTTCTCGACGGTGTCGTTCCCCCGACCTGGACCGCCGACCAGCTTGCCGCACGTGACGACGCCGCCCGGGAAATCATCGTTGGCTCTATCGACTCCGCCGACGTATCGGCCACCCTCGACGCATCCCCAGCGACGACCTGTCGGCACCGCGCATCTTTGCCGCTCTCAAGGCTCGTTTTGCACCGGACGACGCTACACGCACTCTCGAGTTGTTCGCTCGCCTTTGGGACTTCAGGAAGATGCCTGCCTCCGTCGAGGCCTACGACACTTGGCTACGCGAGTACATGTCGATTGCTCAGGAAATACGCGACGCCAAAACATCGCTCAACGACGTGCTCGCCACCCACGTGCTCGCCATGGTCCCGTCTTGCCTCGACAGCTTCCGACTCACGTTCACGGACGAGCAGCGAAACCGACGCGACCTTCCCGAACTCACGACGCTTACGGACCGCATTCGCATCCAGCTTCGTTCGGCAGGACTCTCGACCTCGCATTCGGCCATGCTTGCCACCAGCTCCCCTGCCCGCCTGCCGCGCTCCCGGTCACCGCCTGCGCGACTGCACTTCACGTGCGAAGCACCCGCCCACCGGCCCCTGCCGCCGATGCCACAAGAAAGGTCACTGGGCACTCGACTGCAAGAACCGGGGTGAACAGGCACGTAGCAGCGACGACACCCAGGACGACACGTCTTCCTCCGCGGCCTCGCAACCGAACGTCGGCTATTTCGCCTCCTGCCTCTTCGCTCGTCGCCAACTCCAACTGACGCCTTTGTAGTCGATTCGGGTGCCACGACACACATGGTCGCCGACCGATCTCTATTCACGACTTATCGTCAGACGGCACACACCAAGATCGGCGGCATCGCGGGCGGCATCACGGCTATCGGCATGGGGGACGTGGCATTCGTCGCCAAGACTGGACACCCGATCACGCTCCGTGGTGTTCTTCACACGCCTGGCCTACACGTCAACCTCCTCTCTGTCTCTCGCCTCTGCGACACCGACCGCGTTCGTCTCGCCTTCACCAGCGACGGCATCGACATCGCCAAGGACGGCCGGGCCATTGCTCACGGTACCAGGGTCAACGACGGTCTTTACCTTTTGGACGCGGATCACACCAAGTGCCAGCATCTTGCCTTCCTCTCACGCTCTGAGTCTCCCGTGCCCCTGCTTACCCTACACCGCTGCCTCGGCCATCTTGCCCCATCCTCTATACAGAAGATGATTGCTGCAGGTTTGCTGGACGGGTTTGGGGCCGGGTACAGTGACAAAGACGTAGAGGAGTTTGTTTGCAATGCTTGCCTTGGTTCCAAAGGTCACCGCCTTCCCTTTCCCGACTCTGAGTCGCATTCCGCCGAGAGACTTGGCCTCGTGCACAGCGACGTCCTGTCGTTCCCCACTCCGTCCTTGACCGGGAAGCGCTACCTTGTCACGTTTCTAGACGACCACTCTCGCAAACTCTGGGCATATGCGATCGATCACAAAAGCGATGTTTTCCCGACCTTCCAGACTTGGCTCGCCGAAGTGGAGTTAGAGACGAACGCGCGGTTGAGGATCCTTCGAACCGACAATGGCGGGGAGTACCGATCAAACGCATTCACGGAGTTCTGCAAATCCAAGGGCATTCGTCGTCAATACTCTATCCCTTACACGCCTCAACAAAACGGTCGCGCCGAACGTGTCAACCTCTCCATCGTCGAGGGCGTCCTCGCTCTCCTTGCGGACGCCCGTCTGCCGGCCACCTTTTGGGATGAAGCGGCTGCGTATTTCGTTTATTGCAAAAACAGGTGCTCACACTCAGCTTTGGCCAAACAGACTCCAGAATCCGTTTGGAACGGCCAACGCACCACCGCCACCGCCCTCCACCCGTTCGGCTGCACAGCCTGGCTCACGGTCGCCCCGGACCTTCGCAGCAAGCTCGACCCCAAGGCCGCGCGCGTGATCTTCACAGGTTACGACCTCGCCTCCAAAGCTTTCCGTTTCTTTGACCATTCCATCAACAAGATTGTACTTGGTCGCAATGCCACCTTCCTCGACGACGACTTCCCCGGCCTGCCAGTCACCACGCCCGTCGATGCAGACGACACCGACCGTCAGTTCGTCGTTCCCGCCGACACGCCCGCCCCTGCCGTCAAGACGAGGACCCCACTAGTAAGGTCGGCGCACATGGACGTCTCATCCTCCCTTGATGATTCTGCCATGAGCGCCGTTGACGTGGCCCCAGGGTACACTGGCGGAACCTTACTTAATTCCACAGATACCGAATCGTCCTCGTCACCGTCTCCTGAGCCGTCCTCGTCACCGTCGCCCACAAACCCTTTGTCACCGTCGCCTGCGCTGTCACCGTCGTTGGCAGCGTCATCGTCACCCTCGGTCTCACCGACCGACTCTGACTACTCCGCCGACCCTCTGGACCTCATCGGCTCACAGACCCCGACTCGCCTTGGCCCACCGGACGTGCACCGCCCAGACTTCAGCACGTACCGTGAGCCCGCATCGGCTGAGGAGTCGCCCGACGAACTCGACATCATTGGGCGTCACTCGCGCGATGAATCGCCGGATGAAATCGATTTCCTCACCCAACACCACCGCGCCTTCATCGCCACAGACGACGACGACCCCACCCTCGACGCCATCGAGCCCGTCAAATCGATCACTAGCGACCCCCAGACCTGGCGCGAAGCAATGTCCAGCGACGAGCACAACATCTGGGCTGAGGCCGCCGCCGCCGAGTTCACCGCCATGCGCGACGACTTCAAGGTGTTCACCATCGAGCCTCGCTCATCTGTACCGCCGGGCGCCACCATCGTCACCTCCAAATTCGTCTGGAAGACCAAGCGCAACGCAAGCGGTGAAGTCATGGGGCGGAAGGCACGTCTTGTAGCGCAGGGTAACCGACAGCGCGACGGCATCGACTTCTCAGAAACCTTCGCACCCGTCGCCCGTTTCTCCTCCATTCGCTGCCTCCTGGCTCTTGCCGCTGCCAATGGCTACCACGTTCATCAGGCCGACATCGACAAGGCTTACCTCCACGGCGAGCTCGATCATGATATCTGGATGACGACACCACGCGGTTTCGACTTCCCGAGCGATAAGGTTCTCCGGCTGCGACGCTCAATCTACGGTCTCAAGCAGGCCGGTCGCATCTGGAATCGTCACATTGACACATCACTCAGGAATCTGGGGTACAAGGCAACAGGCACTGATCACTGCATTTACTCTTGCATTGACGATCAGCAGCGGCCTCACTATATCGCCTTGTATGTCGACGACCTCCTCATTGTCAGTCCAGCCCTCGACGAGATCGAACGTGTCATCTCCGGCCTTGAACAGCGGTACGGCGTCAAACGACTCGGCCCCGCGGAGTACATCCTCGGAATCCAAATACGCCGCCTGGACGACGGTTCCATTGCTCTATCCCAGGAGCGCTACATCATGGACGTGCTGGCCCGTTTCCACTTCGACACCACGACACGCGGCACTACGGTGCCGATGACGCCCGGCCTCTCGCTCACGGCAATTCCGGGTCAGGGAACGGAGCGCATTCGTTCGTGGTACCTACAGGCCATCGGCTCCCTCCTCTACATCTCCCTTGGCACTCGACCCGACATTGCCTTCGCCGTCTCGTACCTGTCCCGGTTCGCCAACAACCCCGGCCGCCGCCATTGGATTGCCGTCAAACACGTCCTTCGCTACCTTCGCGCCACGTACCGCGATGAGCTTCTCTATGCCCGCGGCCCAGCAAAAGTCACGGGTGTGGTTGGTTATTCTGATGCGAACTGGGGCGCCTGCGTCGACACATCCATTTCAACGATGGGCTACGTATTTTACTTGGCAGGCGCCGCTGTCTCTTGGTCGTCGAAGCGTCAGACTCGGGTAGCGGATTCCACCACTGATGCCGAGTACCTGGCCTTGTCGCACGCGGGTAAGGAAGCGATCTACCTTAACCAACTCCTCTCCGAGCTCCACGTTTGCCCAATCGCTGCAGCTCACATCTTCACCGACAACGAGGCCGCGGCCGCCGTCGCTCACGACCCCGTTCGCACCTCCGGCACCCGGCACATTCGCCTCCGCGAGCATTTTGTCCGTGACATGGTCAATCGAGGTGATATCTCTCTCTCACACGTTGGCACAGCAGACATGGTTGCGGACGTATTCACCAAAGCGCTAGGCCCCAAGATTTTTGGTACACATTGCTATGCTCTAGGCCTCCGGACGCGACATCCACGGCTCAAGTCTACCTCGCGTTCGCGTGGGGGGGGTGTGAGGAATCCACTCTCCGCTCGGCTCAGGACTTAGGCGCGCGGAGCGAACCGGGCGCGGACTTAGGCGCGCGGAGTGAGCCGGGCGCCCCGGCCCAGGACCTAGGCGCGCGAAGCGAGCCTGGGACTTAGGCGCGCGGAGCGAGCCTGGGCCATTGGCTCAGCCCCAGGCTCGCTGGCTGTGGACTTGGGGTGCGCGGGTCTCTTATTGTTAGCTTCCTATTCATCACTCTTGGCTATAACTACATCGCTGACGTAGTAGAGTTGATCGAATAGGTATGTTGAAATGCATTCATCACTCTTGGCTATAACTACATCGCTGACGTAGTAGAGTTGATCGAATAGAGGTAGAGAAGTTTGTCTGCAATGCTTGCCTCAGCGCAAAGGGCCATCGTCTTCCCTTTCCCGATTCGGATTCGCACTCCTCAGAGAGACTCGGCCTTGTACACAGCGATGTGCTTTCCTTCCCCGAGCGGTCCTTGACTGGCAAACGTTACCTGGTCACATTCCTTGACGATTACTCGCGCAAACTCTGGGCCTACGCAATCGGACACAAAAGCGAAGTCTTCGGCATATTCAAAACTTGGCTAGCCGAGGTTGAACTCGAGACGGGTGCGACGCTGAAGGTCCTCCGAACCGACAACGGTGGCGAATACTGTTCGAGAGCGTTCACAGAGTTCTGCAAGACACGAGGCACCCGTCGACAATACTCTATCCCACGCACGCCTCAACAGAACGGTCGTGCAGAGCGGGTCAATCGTTCCATTGTCGAAGGCGTCCTTGCCCTCCTTGTCGACGCCCACCTACCCAAGACATTCTGGGAGGAGGCTGCAGCTTATTTCGTTTACTGCAAGAACCTGTGTCAACACGCGGCCCTGGACAAGGCAACACCAAACTCCGTCTGGCAGGGTGACCACACCACTGCCTCGGCGCTTCACCCGTTCGGCTGTACAGCTTGGCTTACGGTCGCGCCCGAACTTCGCTCCAAACTCGACCCGAAGGCGGTTCGCGTTTTTTTCACCGGCTACGACCTGGCTTCAAAAGCCTTTCGCTTCTACGACACTACAACACAGAAGATTATACTTGGCAGAAATGCCACGTTCCTCGACACTGAATTCCCCGGATTACATGGCGACCCCACTGAGCAAGACGGCGACACGCACTTCGCCAGCGCTCCCACCACCGAATCTCAAACCGTTGTCAAGACATGGACCCCACTAGTAAGGTCGGCGCACATGGACGTCTCATCCCCCCTTGATGATTCTGCCATGAGCGCCGTTGACGTGGCCCCAGGGTACACTGGCGGAACCTTACTTAACTTCACAGATGCCGAATCGTCCTCGTCACCGTCGCCTGCGTCGCCCTCATCACCGTCGTCTGCGCCATCGCCTGCACTTTCACCATCGTCGGCTGCGTCATCGTCACCCTCGGCCTTACCGACCGACTCTGAAGACTCCGCCGATCCCCTCGACCTCCTCGGCTCACAGCCCCAGGTTCGCCTCGATCTACAGGACGTGCACCACCCAGACTTCAGCACGTACCGCGAGCCCGCATCGGCTGAGGAGTCGCCCGACGAACTCGACCTCATTGGGCGCCACTCTCGCGACGAATCTCCGGACGAAATCGATTTCCTCACCCGACACCACCGCGCCTTCATCGCCATCGACGACGACACCTCTGACACAGAGGCAATTCAGCCAGTCAAGTCCATCACGAGCGACCCACAGACCTGGCGCGAGGCGATGTCTAGCGACAAGCGTGAAGTATGGGCCAAAGCCGCCACCGACGAGTTCACCTCCATGCGCGACGACTTCAAGGTCTTCACCATCGAGGACCGAGCCACGGTGCCCGCGGGTGCGACTATCGTTGTTGAACTTTGCTCCATCTCACTTCTAGGACAATATGCGCTCACTGAAGTAGAGGTGCCTCGCCTTTTGGTGCAGTGGTATATTGTTCCTTCATAGGTTATGAGCCCAGAGCAACCAGCAGGTCATGAGTTCAATCCCCCCTGGGGTCAGGCAATTTTGCGCGCATACACTCAGCGTCCCGGCCCCCGCACTTGCCCAGCGGCGTGCCAAGCACCCTGGCGCATCGACAGTGCTCACAGTGCCCAAGCTGCACTTGCCCAAGCGACCTGATCAACATGCCCAGTTGCCTCACAGCCGCACCCACTGCCACAAGCTCTTCAGCTTCGCGCACAGGGGGGTGTTGAACTTTGCTCCATCTCACTTCTAGGACAATATGCGCTCACTGAAGTAGAGGTGCCTCGCCTTTTGGTGCAGTGGTATATTGTTCCTTCATAATCGTTACATCCAAGTTCGTCTGGAAAACGAAACGGAACGCACTCGGCGAAGTCACTGGACACAAGGCAAGGCTGGTCGCGCAAGGCAATCGGCAACGCGACGGCATCGACTTCAACGAAACGTTCGCACCGGTCGCACGCTTCTCCTCGATACGCTCACTCCTCGCGCTGGCGGCCGCCAACGGCTTGCACGTGCACCAGGCGGACATCGACAAAGCATATCTGCATGGCGACCTTGACCACGACATCTGGATGACGGCACCGCGCGGCTTCGACCTTCCCAGCGACAAGGTGCTTCGCCTGCGACGCTCCATCTACGGGCTCAAACAGGCTGGCCGAATCTGGAATCGACACATCGACGCTTCGCTTCGGGCCCTCGGTTACACGGCGACGGGCACCGACCACTGCGTATACTCTTGGCTCGATGATCGTCAATGTCCACACTACATCGCACTGTACGTCGACGACCTCCTGATGATCAGCCCGGAACTGGCCGAAATCGAACGTGTCATCTCAGGCCTGGACCAACGCTACGGAGTCAAGCGCCTCGGCCCGGCCGAGTATATCCTCGGCATCCAGATCAGGCGGTTCGACGACGGCTCTATCGCCCTATCCCAGGAACGGTACATCATGGACGTGCTCGCTCGGTTCCACTTCGACACCACGACTCGCGGCACTACAGTTCCGATGACTCCCGGCCTTTCGCTCACTGCTATCCCGGGTCAAGGCACCAAACGGATCAGGTCATGGTATCTGCAGGCTATCGGCTCGCTCCTCTACATTTCGCTCGGTACCCGCCCTGACATCGCCTTCGCCGTGTCCTACCTGGCCCGCTTCGCCAACAACCCCGGTCGTCGTCATTGGATTGCGGTCAAGCACATCCTACGCTATCTCCGGGCCACGTATCGCAACGAACTCGTGTATGCTCGCGGCCAGGCTCGCATCACGGGTGTGGTAGGCTACTCCGACGCGAACTGGGGGGCCTGCATCGACACATCGGTGTCCACCATGGGCTACGTCTTCTACATCGCTGGCTCGGCCGTGTCCTGGTCGTCCAAACGCCAGTCTCGAGTTGCCGATTCGACCACCGACGCTGAATACCTCGCCCTCTCGCATGCTGGCAAGGAAGGGATTTACCTCAGTCAGCTGCTCGAAGAGCTCCATGTACAACCTGTTGCACCGGCTCACATCTTTACTGACAACGAAGCCGCTGCTGCAGTTGCTCACGATCCTGTCCGCGTCTCTGGCACTCGGCACATACGCTTGCGTGAGCACTTCGTTCGGGACATGGTGAATCGGGGCGACATCTCTCTCTCGCATGTGGGTACCAGCGACATGGTGGCCGACATCTTCACCAAGGCTCTCGGCCCAAAGGTCTTCTCAACGCACTGCTACGCCCTCGGCCTTCGCACTCGACACCCGCGGCTTGGGTCTGCCTCGCATTCGCGTGGGGGGGGTGTGAAGAGTCCACTCTCAGCTCGACAGGGGCGCCTCGGTCGTTGCGCGCACTTGCTAGCCCGCCCCCGGCGGTGGGGACTTAGACGCGCGCGACTGCCTCAGCGCGCCAGCGCCGGCGGATTCATGCGCGCGCCCGCTAGCCCGCCCCCTTGCGGTGGGGACTTAGGCGCGCCGGCGATTTCACCCGCGGCTGACTTAGGGATGTACATTGTCACGCGCCTGGGACTATCCCAGCGTGGCCCCCCCCCCTTTCTGTTTCTTAGCTTCCTTCTCATCACTTCTGTTCGACTCTCAACCTCTCCTGACAGTAGTGGTGAACGTCTCATAGGTACGCTGAAATAGATCACTTCTGTTCGACTCTCAACCTCTCCTGACAGTAGTGGTGAACGTCTCATAGATGTCGGCCACCATGTTGCTGGTTCCCACATGCGAGAGTGAGATATCGCCCCGATTCACCATGTCCCGAACAAAGTGCTCGCGCAAGCGTATGTGTCGAGTGCCGGAGACGCGGACAGGGTCGTGGGCAACTGCGGCAGCGGCTTCATTGTCAGTAAAAATGTGAGCCGGTGCAACAGGTTGGACATGGAGCTCCTCGAGCAGCTGACTGAGGTAGATCCCTTCCTTGCCAGCATGCGAGAGGGCGAGGTATTCAGCGTCGGTGGTAGAATCGGCAACTCGAGATTGACGCTTGGACGACCAAGACACGGCGGATCCGGCAATGTAGAAGACGTAGCCCATAGTGGACACCGACGTATCGACGCAGGCCCCCCAGTTCGCGTCGGAGTAGCCAACCACGCCCGTGATGCGTGTCTCGCCGCAAGCATAAACCAGTTCGTCGCGATATGTGGCCCGGAGATAGCGGAGGATGTGCTTGACCGCGATCCAGTGACGACGTCCAGGGTTGTTGGCGAAGCGGGCCAGGTAGGACACGGCGAAGGCGATGTCGGGGCGGGTGCCGAGCGAAATGTAGAGGAGCGAGCCGATAGCCTGCAGATACCATGACCTGATCCGTTCGGTGCCTTGACCCGGGATGGCGGTGAGCGAAAGGCCGGGGGTCATCGGGACTGTAGTGCCGCGAGTCGTGGTGTCGAAGTGGAACCGAGCAAGCACGTCCATGATGTACCGTTCCTGGGACAGGGCAATAGAACCGTCTTCGAGTCGCCTGATCTGGATGCCGAGGATGTACTCTGCCGGGCCGAGGCGCTTGACGCCGTAGCGTTGTTCGAGGCCCGAGATGACACGTTCAATTTCGGCCAAGTCGGGGCTGATCATCAGGAGTGTGAGGAATCCACTCTCCGCTCGGCTCAGGACTTAGGCGCGCGGAGCGAACCGGGCGCGGACTTAGGCGCGCGGAGTGAGCCGGGCGCCCCGGCCCAGGACTTAGGCGCGCGAAGCGAGCCTGGGACTTAGGCGCGCGGAGCGAGCCTGGGCCATTGGCTCAGCCCCAGGCTCGCTGGCTGTGGACTTGGGGCGCGCGGGTCTCTTATTGTTAGCTTCCTATTCATCACTCTTGGCTATAACTACATCGCTGACGTAGTAGAGTTGATCGAATAGGTATGTTGAAATGCATTCATCACTCTTGGCTATAACTACATCGCTGACGTAGTAGAGTTGATCGAATAAGGAGGTCGTCGACGTACAGCGCGATGTAGTGTGGGCGTCGCCGATCGTCGATCCGAGAGTACACGCAGTGGTCGGTGCCCGTCGCCGTATAGCCGAGATCTCGAAGCGATGCGTCGATGTGTCGATTCCAGATTCGGCCAGCCTGTTTGAGTCCGTAGATGGAGCGTCGCAGACGAAGCACCTTGTCGGTGGGAAGGTCGAAGCCGCGCGGTGTCGTCATCCAGATGTCATGGTCAAGGTCGCCATGCAGATAGGCTTTGTCGATGTCCGCCTGGTGCACGTGCAAGCCGTTGGCGGCCGCCAGCGCGAGGAGTGAGCGTATCGAGGAGAAGCGTGCGACTGGTGCGAAGGTTTCGTTGAAGTCGATGCCGTCGCGTTGCCGATTTCCCTGCGCCACGAGCCGTGCCTTGTGGCCGGTGACTTCGCCGAGTGCATTCCGTTTCGTTTTCCAGACGAACTTGGATGTGACGATGGTCGCACCCGCTGGTACCGTGGATCGTGTGAAGAGTCCACTCTCAGCTCGACAGGGGCGCCTCGGTCGTTGCGCGCACTTGCTAGCCCGCCCCCGGCGGTGGGGACTTAGACGCGCGCGACTGCCTCAGCGCGCCAGCGCCGGCGGATTCATGCGCGCGCCCGCTAGCCCGCCCCCTTGCGGTGGGGACTTAGGCGCGCCGGCGATTTCACCCGCGGCTGACTTAGGGATGTACATTGTCACGCGCCTGGGACTATCCTGTTGAACTTCGCTCCATCTCACTTCTAGGACAATATGCGCTCACTGAAGTAGAGGTGCCTCGCCTTTTGGTGCAGTGGTATATTGTTCCTTCATAGGTTATGAGCCCAGAGCAACCAGCAGGTCATGAGTTCAATCCCCCCTGGGGTCAGGCAATTTTGCGCGCATACACTCAGCGTCCCGGCCCCCGCACTTGCCCAGCAGCGTGCCAAGCACCCTGGCGCATCGACAGTGCTCACAGTGCCCAAGCTGCACTTGCCCAAGCGACCTGATCAACATGCCCAGTTGCCTCACAGCCGCACCCACTGCCACAAGCTCTTCAGCTTCGCGCACAGGGGGGTGTTGAACTTCGCTCCATCTCACTTCTAGGACAATATGCGCTCACTGAAGTAGAGGTGCCTCGCCTTTTGGTGCAGTGGTATATTGTTCCTTCATATATCCCAGCGTGGCCCCCCCTTTCTGTTTCTTAGCTTCCTTCTCATCACTTCTGTTCGACTCTCAACCTCTCCTGACAGTAGTGGTGAACGTCTCATAGGTTATAAGCCCACGAGCCACCAGCTGGCATGACCACAACACCACCCCTCGCGACGGGTGCCAACCCTCCGATTCCCGCCGAACAGCTCGCCGCACTTACATCGCTGCTGTCGGGTCTCACCGCTGCCGCTTCCGGCACTGCCACACCCGCCACGACGTCCGGCACCACTCGCACTGCCTTTCCAAAGCACGCACGCTTGGATGGTGCGAAGACCTTCGCGAACTGGACACGCCAACTTCGCCTGTGCCTAGCGGACGACATCCGCTCGTACGTCCTCGACGGTATCGCACCCGACGACTGGACACCTTCGCAACGCTCCGCTCGCGACGCCGTCGCTCGTGAGGTCCTTGCGAATTCGATTGACTCGGCCGAAGTCTCGGCAGTCCTCGACAAAATCCCTACCGCCGACCTGACAGCGCCGACAATCTACTCGACGCTGAAATCGCGGTACGCCCCTGACGACGCCACCCGCACGCTCGAGCTCTTCTCACGACTCTGGGGTTTCCGTCCCATGCCCGGCACGGTTGCCGAATTCGACGGGTGGATCATGGACTTCAAAGCCGTTGCGCAAGAGATCATCGACACAAAGACAACTATCAATGATGTTCTCGCCACACTCCTCCTTGCAATCGCCCACCCGTCCCTCGAGAGCTTCAAGGCGTCGTTCACCGATGAACAGCGCACGCAACGAACTCTCCCCGACATTGATTCGCTTGCCGACCGTATGCGAGTCCAACTTCGGTCAACGAACATCCCCAGCACTCAATCGGCCCTTCTTGCCTCGTCGTCGTCACGTTCTACTCGTCTCAAGTGTCTCGCCTGTCGCAGCCCTTCGCACCGAGTCGCGGAGTGCCCTACGAGGGCGCAACACCCGCCGCCAGGACCCTGTCGCTCCTGCAAGAAGAAGGATCACTGGTCTCTCGACTGCAAGAAGGCGCTCGAGGACGGCAAAAAGCCCGACACCGCTGACTCGACCGTCGACTCGCAACACCATGTCGGATGTCTCGCCACCGGTCTTCTCGCTCGTCGTCGCCAGCTTCGCAACCACTCTTTTGTCGTCGACTCGGGCGCCACTTCGCACATGGTCTCGGACAAGTCGCTGTTCACGACCTATCGCCATATCGCTCCTACGAAGATTGGTGGTATTGCAGGGGGCATCAACGCCATCGGAACGGGAAACATCGCCTTCATTGCCGCCTCGGGTCATCCGATCACGCTTACCGGCGTGCTGCACACTCCGGGCCTGTTTGTCAATCTTCTCTCGGTCTCTCGACTTTGCGACACCGACGATGTCCGTGTCGCCTTCACAAAACACGGCATCCACATTGACAAGGACGGCAACGACATCGCTGAAGGCGCACGACTCGACGAAGGGCTCTACTTGCTGGACGCTGATCATTCCAAATGTCAGCACCTTGCTCTCCTTTCTCGCTCACAGTCGTCCGTGCCCCTGCTGACTCTCCATCGCTGCCTCGGCCATCTCGCACCGTCCTCCATACAGAAGATGGTTGCCGCTGGTTTGCTGGAGGGTCTCAGGGCCGGATATAGTGACGAAGAGGTAGAGAAGTTTGTCTGCAATGCTTGCCTCAGCGCAAAGGGCCATCGTCTTCCCTTTCCCGATTCGGATTCGCACTCCTCAGAGAGACTCGGCCTTGTACACAGCGATGTGCTTTCCTTCCCCGAGCGGTCCTTGACTGGCAAACGTTACCTGGTCACATTCCTTGACGATTACTCGCGCAAACTCTGGGCCTACGCAATCGGACACAAAAGCGAAGTCTTCGGCATATTCAAAACTTGGCTAGCCGAGGTTGAACTCGAGACGGGTGCGACGCTGAAGGTCCTCCGAACCGACAACGGTGGCGAATACTGTTCGAGAGCGTTCACAGAGTTCTGCAAGACACGAGGCACCCGTCGACAATACTCTATCCCACGCACGCCTCAACAGAACGGTCGTGCAGAGCGGGTCAATCGTTCCATTGTCGAAGGCGTCCTTGCCCTCCTTGTCGACGCCCACCTACCCAAGACATTCTGGGAGGAGGCTGCAGCTTATTTCGTTTACTGCAAGAACCTGTGTCAACACGCGGCCCTGGACAAGGCAACACCAAACTCCGTCTGGCAGGGTGACCACACCACTGCCTCGGCGCTTCACCCGTTCGGCTGTACAGCTTGGCTTACGGTCGCGCCCGAACTTCGCTCCAAACTCGACCCGAAGGCGGTTCGCGTTTTTTTCACCGGCTACGACCTGGCTTCAAAAGTGTGAGGAATCCACTCTCCGCTCGGCTCAGGACTTAGGCGCGCGGAGCGAACCGGGCGCGGACTTAGGCGCGCGGAGTGAGCCGGTCGCCCCGGCCCAGGACTTAGGCGCGCGAAGCGAGCCTGGGACTTAGGCGCGCGGAGCGAGCCTGGGCCATTGGCTCAGCCCC